TAACTAAATATTTTTCTATTATAAATACGAAACTATTTTACTTTCCTCGTATCTGTGTGTGTTGTGTATTGTACCTATAGATGCAAAAGCACAGTAAACGAAGTGAGAATGTATTATCATATCAACTTACACAATAATTGTAATTAAATAGCAGAGCGTAGAATAAAAAATTCACAAAAATTGTTTAAACATAATTGACACAGTTTAGGTATGACAAAGTAAAAATGAGATACACGTGCGACTCAAATTATACGATTAAATACAATAAGCACATTTGAAAAATAATTTAAAAATTTTTTAAGGTAAACATATACAATTTGATGGTGAATTTTAGCCAAATTATTGATGTGGGTGTGCATATGTATGAACAAAAATATAGATACAGTGAACGTAACACAGTGTATTTATTTTCAGCACTTGAATTCTTGAAGTACACGTAACGTAAAAGAAGAAATACAATTTCTAACATTTATACAAATAAACTAAATTGCTTTAAAATAGATTTTAAATCTTATAAAATCATTCAAGATTTAAGTTCAATATATTGTATATGAAAGTAATGTATTCGCCTTCGAGTGAATTGTTCATGAGTGACTCAATAATCCAAGGTTTTGCAGACAAACAAATCCATTCACGTTTCGAGAACGACACAAGCAACAGATACATTTTTGCACTTTGACTACAAAAGGCAATCAACAATTGAACCTCAAATCCAAACGACAACGAAACCAACAACAGCTCAATAACGATATTTACTACATTTACGTTACGTTGTGTCACGCTACGATACGCCAATGTAAACGTAATTTTCATTCATAAAATCGAAAAAGGCAGCAGTGCGAGTACGAGTCATCGAGTCATCGAGTCAGCGAGTCGACTCCTACACTTTACGAACTCGGCTGCATAAGCACCGAGTGTTAGTATTGTATCTTGTATCTGACTTATGCCATATATGAATGAAAGTGTGTGGAATATATGTACGTACATGTACATGTAACTAAGTATGCAACGTATATGGTACATGTGACCAAATTTGCGGCATCCGTTCTAGCTTAATGGTGGAACTATGTGGTTTAATTCAGTTTTTGATTTTGTCGCAATTATTGTGGGCAAGTAGAAATAATTGAAAATAATTTAAATTTTATGAGAACAGAAATTAAAAAATTAATAATATATGATATAAAGATGATTTTTTTTAGAAAAATTTTATGTCAATTAACTAATTGACAGTGCAGTAAATTTTGTTTAACAATTACAATTACGATACTATAAAATTATTATTATTATTTTATAGCACTTAAATTAAAAATTCTTTTAATTTTTATAGTTCTATGAAGTTAAAATATTGAATTTTCAAATATTTAATAGTTGCCAAGACAAATACAGATACTATAACAGATACAGATACGAATCCATAGGAAAATATTGTCTGATATTGATTTTAAATCAGTCATCTCATTAATTCATCATTATCAACAATCCTTAGAAAATTTAAACGTACCGCAAGAGAACTGTATATTCTTACTGAATTTTTAGCTTTTCTTTACTATATCTATTCTACTAAATAGCCAAATAGTTATAAACAGGCTACCAGCTCCCAACGGAGCGGAGCACTGCGACCATAGTTAATCTTTTGTGCTGTGCTGTACTCAACAGCAAAGTTAAACCAAAATTGTTGTCAGCTAACTGCATTAAAAATGTTACAATTAGAAAAAACAATAAAACAAAATAACAGCTAACTGGACTAAAAAACTTAGATATTAGAAAATAAATTGAAGAAAAATTTTGTTAAAAACCTTATTTTAAAATAAAATAACGAGCTTGTTTAAATAATTAAATTATGAAAAGCATTCATTTTCTCCGTGGAATATATTAAATTAAATGTTAATTATAGGCGTTTTCTTTTGTAAACATATCACAAAAGAACAACCGCTTATTTTAAAAATAATATGTGAAACAACAACACTGCTGGCTTAATTAGTCCAACTTTTTCGAAACCGCTTAACAAATAATCAGCTCAAATTGCATGGTTGCCAAGACCAAGACTAAAAATTCTTTTATTATGAACGATTTTTGAAGATACATACAAAATTTCCAGTTAACTGTCAATAAATGTTTGACAAATAATACTTCTTGATTCTTGATTCTTCTTCTTCTTCAGTTAGTGCTATTACGCACTTTTACTCTATAATGGTTGGGGGGCTTATTTGTACCCCACACTAGGCTTTAACTAGGCTAAAAAAAAAATCATATCATTTATTTGTCTTTTAGTTGATGACGGACCTTAAATCAGCATATCTTCCTGAGAGTCCAGAAGTGGACTTGAGGATTGTTAGGGCCTAAAAATACAAATTTTATTCACAGTCATTTAAAAAATAAAATATTTTTGCCCATAATTGTAAGGAATTCTTTTTCGAAACTTTAACATTAAATTTTTTTAAGTGTATTGCATATGTAAGCCTAACAAAATTTTCGGTTGTTCCAGAATTGCTATCAAAAATAGTGCTTTTTTTATGTTGTTCATTTGCAATATGTTTACGAAAGAAAAGGCCTAATACTGAAAGAATATCCCTTTAGTAAAAGATGTGCCTATTTCTTTTACTATCTTGACTGACTTTCCTCGTTCGTTCTTACTACTCCTATTTCTACTCGCTTTGTCATTATATACCCTTTCTTTCATTGTTTCTCTCTCGGCCTTCTTAACTCTACGAGTATATAATATTGCAATTAGTTAGTTAAAATTTTAGTTAGAATAAAATCTGTGCTGTTCAATGAAAACAAAGTCCTGTTAAAGAAATTCCTAGTTAAATCTATTTGGAACTATGTAGTACATAATGAAGTACAGTCAACTATTCAATTATTGAAACCATTCGAGGGTTTAAAGCAAAGTTAATCTGATAATCAGGTAATCAGATCAGATTCCCGTGGTTTGTATAAAATTAAACTATTCAAATTTGAAATTTGAAGGTATGCTATGTTCTGAAAAAAATGAAAGGTTTCAATAAAAATTATTTGGTTTTCATTTCATCAAAAGAGCTGAATATTTTTTTACTATACATAATTTTTTTTTAATTATTATTTATTCAATTGCGCCTAGTTAAAAATAAAATCTAATTTG